ATCGTGAGAGTAGCAAAGGTTCTTAGTCTTATGGTCATGTCTAATAAGGTCATGATTTTGACGGATTGACCTTGGTGTGTGATAGTTTGATGTGGGCAGATTATTTCACATTTCACCACACACGAGGCACGTCTCTCATGAGTCCAACATCAATACATGTATACGTATGATCAGAAATCTAGAGTTGGTATGTTTATTGTTGTATTGTTTCATTTGAATAATTATTGAGATAAAATAAATTTTAATTGTATGAATGTTCTTTGGTTATTTTAGTTTGTCCTTTTGTCTTGTGTGTGTGTAATTATTCTTTTTGACTGTCTTTGGTGGGAGTAGAAAAAAATGTTTATGATAAATAAGTGCTAGTTAGTGGTGGAGCTTAAGCTTAGAGTATGAAGCTTTGTTGTTTTTTTTTCTGTAAAGACTACATATTACAGGTTTTATTTGTATAGTATATTTCCTCATAGTAAGACCGTTTGTTCGAGTTAACTATCTTATATATCTTAACTGGTGATATATAATTGAAATGTTATAAAAATTGAAATATTACATTGATTAGCATTAACCTCTTCCTAAGATTTTTTTTATGATAATTAATATATTAATGCATTTATCACTAATCTTAATTAATTTGAGCAGTAATTATTATCTTAGATTGAAAATTTAGAATTATGAGTATAAAATATTAGTTTCAAAGATTATGGCATCGTTTTTTCATTCAAAGCAAACATAATGATTCATAATCACAATAGTGACTAACAGGGAGGGTAGATGGATAATAAACGGTTCTAAATTTGGTCCATGAAACTCACAGTATTGATGTATTTAATTCACATATTCACTGATTTTTATGTGAACAACTTGATTTTCATTTAACAAGATTTAAATTTCGACATATTTTACACATTAAAAACACAATTCTATAACAATGGACAGTACATCTAGAGGTGTCAATTTGACCCACGTTTTTGGGTTTTTTTTTTTTTTCGTTTTTGCCCCGGATAGCCTACCCACTCTTAAAACCCCCTCTTAGAGCCCCTCAAATGGGGGCCAAAAAAAAAGCACACCCACCCCTCCTCAAGGGGGTTAGGGTCGAGGTTAAGGTGGGTTTAGCCACAAATTTTTTTTGGAAAAACTAAACTTCAACTTCATTAATAGTACTATCTAAAAGTACCTAAATGTTTATATTATGTATTGATTTCTATTTCAAATTATTAAATAAAACTAATTAATTATAGTTATAATAATATTAATATCAAATAACCACTTTTTTAAATAATTAAAAACAATTGCAAACCACACACATTAATTTATACCATAAATAGTATTAACAAAATTTATTTACGAAATATTATAAAAATGCTTTATTTTGTTGTCAATTTTAATTAAAATTATGTCTTATAGTTGCAAACACCAACTTATTAGAAATTATATATAATTTGTAATATCAAAATAATTCCCCAAAGAGAGATAATAACTATTAAATTGATTTAAATTTTTTGTTTGCATGCTTTTACAGTTCTTAAAAAGGAATCATGTTTTGTTCTTCGACTTCTAAAATATCACTCAACTGTTTTTAATTATTTACAATTAAAATAATTCAAAAATTTATTATCTAAAATTTTTTGATCAAAAATAGTATTAAATTTTATGTTTAAATTAAACTTATGTTTTATTTTGTTTTTTTCTCTCTGATAATCTTTTCTCAAAATCACCATAAGATATATTATAAAAAAAAAGTTAATTTCTTAAAAATTTAAAAAAAAATGAAAATTTTAAATAGACCTAAAGTACTAAAGAATGACAAATGTTATAGTGTTTCAATTCTTTAACTAACACATTAAATAATTTATTTTTAACTTTCAATTAGAACACATAACATAAATGTATGTTTATGTTTATATTTATGTTTATGACATTTAAAATGTAAGCATTTTGAGTGAGTAGTATGATGAGATTGAATTCTATGGGCGAATACAACTTCAGTCTGCACAAGGTTTATGAGTTTTTTCTTTTTATTTATTATTTTTGTTATGAACATGATTTGTTGAGTATAAAATGAAAAAGAAAATCATTTATATTTAATTTCTTTTTCAATAACTTTCTAAGAAAATAAAGAAGCCTATTTTTTTTAAATTAAGAGCTTCAATTAGAGAAAATCTTCTCTTAAATTTCAATTAGGATAATTTTAGATAAAAAGTTAATTTCTTACTTATAAGTTAAAAAAAAGTGAAATTAAGTATTTAAATTTCAAATTTCTAAAATGATCCTTTAATTATATACTTAGAGAATCTAACTCAATAAATATTGTCATTTTGCTTTTGCTTCTTGATTTTAGAACTCTCCTCTTATAAAAATTTCAATTTGTTTTTTATAGTAACTATTTTTGTAACAAATTAGGAGTTAATTATATTTTTTCTTGTATTCAAAATGAACATTTTTTCTAAAAGAAAAGCCCATGGGTTGGCCCTGGCCCACAGGGCTTTTGAAGATATTTTGGCCCTGTGGACTTTTTCTACGAGGGGCTTTTTGGCCCTGTGGATTTTTTTGACCCCAACCCACGTGGGTTAGGGCCAAACCATGTAAGCAGGGCCAAATTGACAGGTCTAGTACAATCGTTCATATCTTGCAGAAAACAAGGAACAATTTTTGTCCGTAAATTTGTTTAATCAGTTGGTAAAAAACCACTATCTTTCTTTCCATAATAATCTAAGGACGAAAACTGTTTAGGAAAAAAAATAGTTTTAGTACTTTTAAATTTATCACATTAGTTAAATTTAATAAATATCATAAAGCCATCTTTACACAATCTAATACAGTTTATAAATTTAATTACACTGATATTTTCGTATCCGGTAACATTACACTCTCGGTTCATACATGAACTACTTTTTTCATAAATAAATTCTTCAGTTAAATGTTTATATGCCCTTAAATATACTTTTTATTCCTACTTTCATAAATACGTAACTTTTATATTTTTAAAGTTTTAATTATACAAATTTTTTTTAAAGTTAGATTATTTTAATCCATTTACCATATCATTTAATTGCTAATAAAACATTACTTATAAGTAATAATAAAAAATAACTTTATCCAGGTAGATAATTTAATATTTTTTATTAATACTAAAAATAGAAATCTTCAATTCCCTAATATTTG